TTTGCTTTTAATCTCTTCCAAACCCTTTTGGGTAGTGTATACCTGAGGTTTATATTTATTCTTTCCTATACCCTCTTGGGTAGTGTATACCTTAGGGTTACTTTAATCTCTTCCAAACCCTTGTAAGTAGTGTATACCTGAAGTTTAAATTTATTCTCTCCTATACCCTCTTGGGTAGTGTATACCTGAGGGTTTTTTTTAATCTCTTCCAAACCCTTTTGGGTAGTGTAAACTTGGGGGTTATTTTTAATCTCTTCCATACCCTCTTGAGTAATGTATACCTGGAGGTTATTTTTAATCTCTTCTATATCCACCTGGGCAGCGTATACCCTCTTGGGTAGTATATACTTGAGGTTAACTTTTAATCTCTCCTATACCCTCTTGGGTAGTGTAAACCTTAGGGTAATTTTTACTCTCATTTATGCCCTCTTCATTAGTGTATGCCTGAGGGTAATTTTTAATCCCTTCTATGTCCTCATGGGTAGTGTATAACTGAGGTTTATATTTATTCTCTCCTATACCCTCTTGGGTAGTGTATACTTGAGGGCCCTTTTTTTAAATATATTTTGTACTCACTTGGGTGGTGTACATCTGGGGGTTATTTTTAATCTCTTCTATACCCTCTTGGGTAGGGTAATATTATTTTTAATCTCTTCTATACCCTCTTGGGTAGGGTATACCTGAGGTTTATATTTATTTTTCCCTTTACCCTCTTGGGTATTGTATACCTGAGGGTTATTTTAAATCTCTTCTATACCCTCCTGGGTAGTGCACACCTGAAGGTTATTTTTAAACTCTTCTATACCCACCTGGGTAGTATATACATGGGGATTATTTTTAATCTCTTCCAAACCCTTTTGGGTGGTGTAAACACAAGGGTTAATTTTTATCTCTTCTATACCCTCTTGATTAGTGTATACCTGGAGGTTATTTTTAATCTGTTCTATACCCACCTGGGCAGTGTATACCTTCTTGGGTAGTATATACTTGAGGTTAACTTTTAATCTCTCCTAAACCCTCTTGGGTAGTGTAAACCTAAGGGTAATTTTTGCTCTCACTTATACCCTTTTCAGTAGTGTGTACCTGAGGGTAATTTTTAATCTCTTCTATACCCTCTTGGATAGTGTATACCTGAGGTTTATATTTATTCTCTCCTATACCCTCTTGGGTAGGGTAGTGTATACCTGAGGGTTATTTTTTTTTAATATCTTTTATACCCACTTAGGTAGTGTACACCTGGGGGTATTTTTAATCTCTTCTATACCCACTTGGGTAGGGAATACCTGAGGGTTATTTTCAATCTATTCTATACCCTCTTGGGTACTGTATACCTGAGGTTTATATTTATTCTTCCCTATACCCTCTTGGGTAGTTTACACCTGAGGGTTATTTTTAATCTTTCCATACCCTCCTGGGTAGTGTACACCTAAGGGTTACTTTTAATCTCTTCTATACCCTCCTGGGTAGTATATACCTGGGGATTATTTTTAATGTTTTCCAAAACCTTTTGGGTAGTGGAAACCCAAGGGTTATTTTTAATATCTTCTATACCCTCTTGATTAGTGTATACCTGGGGGTTATTTTTAATCTCTTTTATATCCACCTGGGCAGTGTATACCCTCTTGGGTAGTGTATACTTGAGGTTAACTTTCAATCTCTTCTATACCCTCTTGGGTAGTGTCAACCTCAGGGTAATTTTTACTCTCATTTATACCTTCTTCAGTAGTGTATACCTGAGGGTAATATTTATTCACTCCTATACCCTCTTGGTTAGTGTATATCTGGGGGGTACTTTTAATCTCTTCCATGCCCTTTTGGTAGTGTATAACTGAGGTTTAAATTTTTTCTCTCCTATACCCTCTTGGGTAGGGTATACCTGGAGGTTACTTTTAATCTCTCCTATACCCTTTTGGGTAGTGTAAACCTGAGGTTTATATTTATTATAGTTATTTTTAATCTCTTCTATACCCACTTGAGTACTGTATACCTAGAGGTTATTTTTAATCTCTTCCATGCCCACCTGGACAGTGTATACTCTCTTGGGTATTGTATACTTGAGGGTAATGTTTACTCTCATTTATACCCATTTCAGTAGTGTGTACCTGAGGATTTTTTTTTAAATCTCTTTTATACCCTCTTGGGTAGTTTATACCTGAGGATTTTTTTTTAATATCTTTTATGCCCACTTGGGTAGTGTACACCTGGGGGTTATTTTTAATCTCCTCTATATCCTCTTGAGTAGGGTATACCTTAGGGTTAATTTCTTCAATGCCCTCATAGGTAGTGTATACCTATGGTTTATAGTTATTCTCTCCTATTCCCTGTTGGGTAGTGTATACCTGAGGGTTATTTTTAATCTCTTCTATACTCTTTTGGGTAGTGTATACCTGAGGTTTATATTTATTCTCTCCTATACCCTCTTGGGTAGTGTATACCTGAGGTTTACTTTTAATCTCTTCCAAACCCTTTTGGGTAGTGTATACCTGAGGTTTATATTTATTCTTTCCTATACCCTCTTGGGTAGGGTATACCTTAGGGTTACTTTAATCTCTTCCAAACCCTTGTAAGTAGTGTATACCTGAAGTTTAAATTTTTTCTCTCCTTTACCCTCTTGGGTAGTGTAAACGTTAGGGTAATTTTTTTCTCTCATTTATACCCTCTTCAGTAGTGATACTACTAGTTGCTTCATGCTAAAGAAACTGAGATATGCTCAGGCTGGGTGGGCCTCCAGGTCACTTGAGCACAGTATTACCAATACCCTCTTGGGTAGTATATACCTGGGGATTATTTTTAATCTTTTCCAAACCCTTTTGGGTAGTGGAAACCCAAGGGTTATTTTTAATCTCTTCTATACCCTCTTGATTAGTCTATACCTGGGGGTTATTTTTAATCTCTTCTATACCCTCTTGGGTAGTGTATACCTGAGCGTTTTTTTAATCCCTTCTATACCCTCTTGGGTAGTGTATACCTGAGGTTTATATTTATTCTCTCCTATACCCTCTTGGTTAGTGTATATCTGGGGGGTACTTTTAATCTCTTCCACGCCCTTTTGGGTAGTGTATAACTGAGGTTTAAATTTTTTCTCTCCTTTACCCTCTTGGGTAGTGTAAACGTTAGGGTAATTTTTTTCTCTCATTTATACCCTCTTCAGTAGTGATACTACTAGTTGCTTCATGCTAAAGAAACTGAGATACGCTCAGGCTGGGTGGGCCTCCAGGTCACTTGAGCACAGTATTACCAATACCCTCCTGGGTAGTATATACCTGGGGATTATTTTTAATCTTTTCCAAACCCTTTTTGGGTAGTGGAAACCAAGGGTTATTTTTAATCTCTTCTATACCCTCTTGATTAGTCTATACCTGGGGGTTATTTTTAATCTCTTCTATACCCTCTTGGGTAGTGTATACCTGAGCGTTTTTTAATCCCTTCTATACCCTCTTGGGTAGTGTATACCTGAGGTTTATATTTATTCTCTCCTATACCCTCTTGGTTAGTGTATATCTGGGGGGTACTTTTAATCTCTTCCACGCCCTTTTGGGTAGTGTATAACTGAGGTTTAAATTGTTTCTCTCCTTTACCCTCTTGGGTAGTGTAAACGTTAGGGTAATTTTTTTCTCTCATTTATACCCTCTTCAGTAGTGATACTACTAGTTGCTTCATGCTAAAGAAACTGAGATACGCTCAGGCTGGGTGGGCCTCCAGGTCACTTGAGCACAGTATTACCAATACCCTCCTGGGTAGTCTATACCTGGGGATTATTTTTAATCTTTTCCAAACCCTTTTGGGTAGTGGAAACCCAAGGGTTATTTTTAATCTCTTCTATACCCTCTTGATTAGTCTATACCTGGGGGTTATTTTTAATCTCTTCTATATCCACCTGGGCAGTGTATACCCTCTTGGGTAGTGTATACTTGAGGTTATTTTTCATCTCTCCTATACCCTCTTGGGTAGTGTCAACCTCAGGGTAACTTTTACTCTCATTTATACCCTCTTCAGTAGTGTATACCTGACGGTATCTTTTATTCCTTTCTATACCCTCTTGGGTAATGTATACCTGAGGTTTATATTTCTTCTCTCCTATACCCTCTTGGTTAGTGTATAGCTGAGGTTTAAATTTATTCTCTCCTTTACCCTCTTGGGTAGTGTATACCTGAGGGTTATTTTTAATCTCTTCTATACCCTCTTGGGTAGTGTATACCCAAGAGTTATTTTTTATCTCTTCTATACTCTCTTGGGTAGTGTATACCTGAGGTTTACATTTATTCTGTCCTATACCCTCTTGGGTAGTCTATAAATGGAGGTTATTTTTAGTCTCTTCTATACCCTCCTGGGCAGTGTATACCCTCTTGGGTAGTGTATACTCTCCTATACCTTCTTGGGTAGTGTAAACGTTAGGGTAATTTTTTCTCACATTTATACCCTCTTCAGTAGTGATACTACTAGTTGCTTCATGCTAAAGAAACTGAGATACGCTCAGGCTGGGTGAGCCTCCAGGTCACTTGAGCACAGTATTACCAATTCCTGAATTGGATGGTGATACTGAACTCCTTTGCAAGAAAACAATGAGTGGGAGGAGAGGCACGCCGATAAAAGCATGTCGTATGTTGTAAAACGCCATTTAATGACTATGAGGTTACAACAGCCGTGGTCTCATCTGCTCTGATTGTAAATAAAGGGGTAAGTTTCTAAAGAAACTACGGTGCTGCGTCGGTGGGAGAGTACAACATGATTATGGAGTGTTATCAACTGTGTTAAAACGTAGATTGGCCACCGTAAAGAGTTTGAAGACTGACGTTACGGGCGTTCGCCCTTCGTTAGGTTTTCCCTCTGAAGAAGGACGTTAGCCTTTAAACTCTTCACGAAGGCCAATTTATGTTTTCAACTCAGTCGATAACACTAAATTACTCTGATTGTAAATGACAGTCACCAGGTCTCCGTAAAATGTAACTCAAAATTCCTAAATAAATGCGGCATGTGTTTTTTTTCAGGAACCAGCCTTAATCCGCTTTGATGAGACATCCAATTTATGGCCCGAGCCCTTCTCCACCCTAATCAATTGCATTTTCCCACTGGAATATGTGTATTCCGATTGGTTTCAATGGCAAGCAAACATTGAGGCTCAACGCAGAGATCCAGAATCTCCCGGCAGCTTACCTGGAGACTGTTTTGGGGCTGGAAGTCGCGTTGAAGGGTTTTGCATTCCCCAGTTCCTCCTTAGGAACAGTGACATTGATCAAGTGAACGCACGTGCTCTTGATATCAAAGAACAGTGGCTCCCTGATCTTGACTTAATGAAAGTTGTTGATTCATTTGTTGAAACAAATGAAAAGAGCCGGATACCAATATTCACTGTTGAGCATTTGGAAGACGATCCAAAGTATGTAAAGTTGAGGTTGACTGACGAGTTCAAGGAGCATGATTCGCGATTTAAGAATGCTCCCTACCTCCATCACTCGTACCTGCTTCCTGACGCAGATCACCCCATGGTTAATGGTGAAAAGGGTGTGTGGTCGAACGACGTGCACGGTCCGGTACGCAAACTCATGAAAGCCGATTTTCCATGCCATGAAGAGGATCGAACGGATGTTTTCAAGTTTCCAATCGCATGGCCTGAGCCTGCTATGGAATGGTTGGTCCGATCACGCCCTTGTGGTTGGCCCTCTTCAGAGCTTGTTCAAGAGGTGTTCGACAGTGGTTGTCTTTTAGCACCTGTTGGTAGAGGAAAGCGCCTGTACGAGCCCATCGATACCTTGGAGTATTACCGAAATCCAGAACAGCCAGCGAATTCCGCAGTGGCTGATGCAGAGGGGAAATGGGCCATGGAAGAAACTGAGTGGAGAATTTCATTTTCACTGGCGGAAAACAAGCTCGGACGGAGTGTTTCACCCATTCAACGGCACGTTATGGTTTTGCTGAAGATGATCAAAAAAGCTTACTTTCCAGATGTTATTTCGACGTATTATTTGAAGAACCTGCTGTTCTGGGAATGCGAGAGTAAAGGAGAAGCCTTTTGGAAAGAGGACAACTTCGCTAAGTGCCTGTTGTCTATGCTGGATCGTCTACACGAGTGCTTAGAAACCTCAGATCTTCCATATTACTTCATGCCTCAAAGCAACCTTCTTCAATATGAAGACACCGCTAATCTCAAAGAAGCTGCTATTGTTGTCGCCGAGGTGAGGAGAGCGATACTACCGAAGACGGTCAGTCTGTTGAAGAGGCTTCAGTCACTAACGTTTCAGTCAAACACCTACTTGCGAGATGTTGGCGTACCACTGAAGGATCATCTTCTTAAGATGCAGGACCGACATCTGTCAGAGGATGATCATGGAAAACTGCTGACGGCTCTGCTCTCACTTTTTGTGGGCAAATGCAAAGATGTCATCAAGAGTTTGCAGAGAACCACGCTTGAACCTGATAAAGGCAAAGGAGTAGAAAATCTGTTGAACGTTGCTTTGTATGCTTACCAGTCGATACTTGCCAGAAATTTGTACAAGCTGTGGTTCTTAATGACCAAGGATGAAGACACCAAAGACGGAGAGAAGGAAGAGGATGAGTTTACGTCATTTGTAGGCGAGGAAGTGAAGGGCCTTTCTTTAGATGGCGATTTCGTTGCTCAGTCCCTTGCCTTCTTCCACAGCGCGAAAAATGGAATGGAGCCATCTCGGTCGATTCTTTGTTCAAGAGCGATGAAATACCTTAGGGAAGAACACGTAAGGATGGCTGTCGAGAGCACAGAAAGTGCACTTGGAGAGTTAAAGGCAAAATTCAGCTGGTTTAAGGTTAGCGTCCTGAAAGAAGCTGCGGAAAGAGCCACAAAGAAGTTACTAAGAGAGAGTCATACTAGAGACACACTTTCAAAAGAAGCGATCCAGAGTGCACTCGAAGAGGAAATTCAAGCACTTCATGGTGAAAGAATAGGAAAAAAGTAATATCGTTAAAAAGAAAGGAACGAAGTTGTTGGCAGAAGTTAAAATAAAGAGATGAACTGGGGGAAAGAACATGGGTCAAGAATTTTCACTCCTTCCGTAGAAATAGTTTGATTAAGTGTTGAATTGAGCCACTGACTCGTTCCAAGTCGTATTCAAAGCGCGTGTGACCGACACGGGCAGGATGGGAGTGCAAAGTGTGATGAATAGGAAGTAAAACTTTTAATTTTAGATATTAGACTAAATTCGTATAACTCTTCCAGTACATTCATCGGACTGTACTAGACTGTTCAAAACAAATGGTAGTTGCCTTAGCCAAAATATTATTGGAGCCCAAAGACCATGGGGATGCATGATTAAGTGTAGCAATTTTGAACTTACTTGACTTTTTTTTACCTTACAGCCGCAACCACACGACGAAAATCATTATCCTTTGTAGCATCGGTTTTTTCGGAATTTTCTTGGAGAAAATTCAGCGATCAAAATGTATTTGAATAGGTGTTCACAACTGTTTTTTATTGATCTTCTCAGTGATAGACTCATTAACTTATAACGAAAGGATTACACAAACTCACTTTATCAACCCTCATGAATTAAGCTGAGAAGAGAGGTTGTTCTTTAAGTATACTGCACTTTTCATTACGCTTGGCTTGTTGTGAATTGAAGATAGTGAAGCCAATAGGTGCACCTGTGAACTGTCTCAGTATTAGCCACGCAAAAGAAAACGGAAAAACCTCGACATGAATTCTTTCTTGTAAAAAACGTCGATCAATAAATAATTTTTATAAACTGCATTTCTAGTGAAATCATGCACTTTTAAGATCTTGTGTTTCAAGAGTCTGAAACTGGTATTTCAGCGAAAACAATCTATATTTCTCTACTTCTTTCTTAACCTGAAAACACTATCAATATCATTATTTTTATAACATGAATCCTTTTCAAGTTTTTGTTTGCTTTTTTATGGTTTATTTTGATTCAGTTTTTGTGATCATCAATCGAAACAGAAAGGGACAAAACGAATTCACAGATTCTACACAACATGAACAACCCTCACTATGCAAAAACATTAATCACAATGCTAATTAAACCGTGGTTTTGTATCTCATTAAACCTTTACACCGTAACATCAGTATGCATATACTCCACACTTTTCTCTGCACATTTCCTGTGGTGTTTACTAGGAAAAATTTTCAAACAATTAAGAGCCTCTTTAATTACCAATCATTCCTTTTATTCTCATGACCTTCGGGTTTGATTGAGATCTGGCATGGAGAAATATGATGGCAGTCACTCTTAGGGGTTAAGGGTTATTGATGGTTTTGAAACATTACGGAACTTTCAAGTTCAGCCCAAGTTAAAACCAGTCCTTTCGCAAGAATCAATTCTCCTTTGAATCCTGCCATCTCAGTGCTAGGCAAGTTAGGTTTTTACGATGTTGCCTACGAACTGTCTTAAAAGTTTTGCGGTAACAGGTAATCTCTATAGCTTGCTACTAATAGCTTGTGCCATTCCTGGAGATTCATCATCAAACGCAGCGCGTAAAACATCCTCCACCCGGTTGACCAAGATAAAGTTCATCTCATCCTTGAAAAAAAAGAAAGAAGAAAAGCATAAGAAATGATGACTAAGAACATATTGAGGGAAAAATATTTTCTATTTTAGTTCCTCAAAATAAGTGAATCTCATGCACCCCACTTCGCGTAGCAAACGTATTGAAAGACAATATTTAAAACTACTAATTCCAAAGCTGATCACATCAGTAAGTCCCAAACTTTTCGTTGTTTTACGCTTGTGTTAGTACTATGAATGTTGCTTCACAATAAGAGCAAGAGGGAAATAATTTGTCAATCTGTAATATTCTGATAAATGGCAGTCCCGGCGACGTGCTCTTTGATCGCAAGTAAGAAGAAGTAAAGGATTTACGTTGCCTTAAAAAATGTCTCTGTGACAAGGACAAACGAAGCACTCCTTTCAATTTTTCAAATCTCTTACCTTCACGTTATCCGGCAGCTCTGAAAGATCCTGGATAGTAGTGAAAAAAACGACAATAGCAAATATCAATAGGCTCATTTTGATATAGTTTGAGATTATTCTGTAGAGACTACAAACGCTCTAGTAACAGCTCATTCCCTCTCTAAAAAACTCCCCACCCCTTCTGCGATAAGCTCCATGCAGCCCCTCTTCAATGAGCCTCCGCCCTTCTCTAGTAGTCTCCAACCTTCCCTCTAAAAGGCCCCTACCCCTCCCCATTGTGCCTCCACCTGCTATCTCATTAGCCCCGCCCCGTTCCCTCTTTGATAAGCATCCTAACCCCTCATCGATAAAACTACCCACCCCATCTCTAATATGCCCACTACACTCCACTCTAATAGGCCCCTATCCCTCTTTGATAAGCTTCCTATCTTACACTAATACACCCCTATACCACCTCTCTAATTTGCTCCCTCCCCGTCTCTGATGAGACCCCTTCCCTCCCCCCCCTTCTCTATAAAGCAACCACCTCTTCTCTACTGAACACTCCCATTTAAGTCCAAACTGGTCCACTAATTGTTGAATCACTCTGCCCCAATTTGACCCACCTTTTCGTTTCTTTTCGGTAGTATCACCCTCTTTAGTCCAGCCCTGTGGGCAGCCAACACTTTTTCCTTGATTCCACCGACCTACAAGAATACATTAGCAAATAAGTTTCTTCGCTAATAAATTATCTGTGTACAAATGACACAACCGTGTCAACCCTTTGGGGTTCATATTATCGCTAAAAAGGTACACTACACAGCAAACCATACCGGTAAAACAAGCCCCCTCAAGGTTATTTCTCCGGTCATGGCTGTGTCTGAACGGGTACATCGGCCGCTGTAAAAGCAAGAGTAGGATGCGAAATTAGAGCAAATACAGCATTAATTTATATACAAAATCAAAGGGATCGATGCCATATAAAGTAAGATTCATTTCCAAACGCCATTATTTTCCAGAGCGTGATTTAATAAGCGAGAAGATTTTTAAAACTAAGATGGAGAGAACCCACAGAGAGTTAAGAGTTTGTAGAGAGGGAAAGTTTTCGTAGCTCTACTCAACTGATTCCACCTCTGCTCTATCACAACTTTTTCCTTTTACTTTTATCTCGATCTTTGAAAGAAGCGAGAACCTATAGACTCCCTATAGTTCATTGGTAGACCATGAGATCATAAAATCCGAAGATCTGAGGTTCACATCCTCGCAAGGACTCAAGGTTTTTTCTCTTCCCAATTCCTTTTGCTCTTCGATCCATTGTCGTAAAACGAAACCAAGGTTCTTATGATGGCCAATAAGAACATAGGCTACTATTATCAGGTGCCAATTGGAACTCAAAGTATTTAAACGAGAGAGAAAGCGCGAGCACCCAATAAGTCGCGACTGGTTTGAGTTGAGCCGATGATTCGTTGGGAGTACATTGCGAGTTTACGAGACCAATACAAAGGGTAAAAGGTCAGAACTAACGCAATCCGGAGTAAATTCGACATTTAGTGAAATATTGTCCTATTTACCTGAAAAGCGATACAAGAACAGTAACAATGGTAACTCCAGCTGATGGGCCGTCTTTGCCAACGGCGCCTGCTGGGAAATGAATATGTACATCTGTGCGCTCAAGTAGATCCACGCCGTCCTCTGATGTCAGACAGTACTGCAGTGACCGGGAGAAAAGGATAAAACACTCAGTTACTGTCTGACAAATACAATATGCATGAGAAGTTAAAACGTAATTGAATGATCCCAATTCCTCGATACTTTCCAAAAGGCCAACAGAGTTATGACTATTCTTTGAGCATAGGATCGAATTCTTCCAAACCACAATACCTGAATCACCACCAATTTGAAACAGTAGCGTTGTGAGAACAGGGTTGTTTTTGGTTCTTTTACATAAAACCTTTGAAAATACTCTAGAGGATAAAGGATGAGGTCAGAGCACAAACCATAGGTTTGATTAAGGTAATTCCTCAGAAAAAAAATGATATCGAACAATTTTTTTCAACGCTTTCCTTGAATGTTTTGATTTCTCCAATTTAAAGGAGATAATTTGTACACCAAAATTATGCAATAAAAATTTATAGATCACCGTGATTGTTCAAAAGCACAAGACCTCCGTTCCTCTTTATTTATTCCATGGATTGAAAAACAATACCGTGTTCTCGGAATGCCCGCGCGCTTATTCACCTTATTACGGGATTATTATGCCCAGTACAGGATGTGCATAATAATCACAGCCATCATCATTTATAAGCTTAAGTCCACAATGGTACGTCACTTGCTCAAATAACCAAGCCACATGGTGTAAAAAGAAAAAAACTCACCTCAGTTGAGCGACTTCTAAGCCAGCTCAACGCCAACTGTGCGGATTCTTTCATGACATCCCCTGAAGTTGGAAATGTAAACGTTTGAGACGATGCTGTGAACTGTTCTAGGTGAAAGTTTGTTCACAGTGAGGGCAATTTTAGTCACCAGATTCCGCAGGGAAATAAGTAATTGTTGCCAGCGTACAGGAGAAGCTGACCTGTAGTAAGTTTGTACTCTTGTCGAAAATAGTAGACAAAGATCCTATGCGTTTCGTGGGTAGTCCGCACAAGAGCTTTAAAACTAACTGACACGACTAGTTATCTCAAGACTCAGAAGTGACTGACCAGTCTTAATTACGGACATAACAATTGAACTGGCCAGTTCTGTCAATTGGAAAGCGACAAAAGACTCAAGTTTGCTTTCTGTCGAGGAAACCGTGCTTGGACGTGGCCGATTTTTGGCCATTAAACAATATACCTATAAATCAGTGAACTTACCCAGCTGTCCAGTCAAAGTGATTTTTCCCTCTCCTCCCATTCGCGTCGCCTCCACAAACATGATTTCACCACCCATTGCTGTCCACGCCAAACCTAGCGAAACAAATAATCATCTCTTTCAACTGTCTTCAAAATGGTATTTCAGTCTCCAGTATTATCCGCACATCAGAACTGAGCTTTTAGCAAGCCTGACATCGACAGGATGTCTGCAGGGAAGGGGTGGGGGGAAAGAATAATGCGCATTCAGAGAACTAAGGATATGTACTCAACCAAAGACACGAGAATTGCAAATTTCAGGTCAGTCGCGACATTATTACGTACTTCGATTTAAGTATTCAAAACAGCCAATCAGGGCAAAGGTTAGTATCATCCCAAGCCTTAAGCCTACAGTGTATATGAAGTGAAAGTAAAACAGGCGAGCTGCTTGAAGCGCGGGAAAACGCGAATGACCAAGTCGCGGTTGGTTTAAGGTTTGCCTCTGATTTGGTAAGCGAGTTTTCTAGACCAATCGCAAAGCAAAGCAAAATCAATACAATCCCGAATTATTTTCGACACTCAATTAAAATTGTACTATTCTCTGGCGTCCACACTCCTGTAATCCTAAATAAAACTGTGAAGATTCAGTCTCTTTGCTTGATCTTGTCTTAAATTTGACTTACCTACTGCCACACCTGGAGTTGACAGTCTTTGAGCCACTTCAGATTCAAATACAGGAGGCTAAAAAAAATAAATCAACTTGCAAACGTCAGTGAAAAAAAAAAGGAAAAAGAAACATCCTCAACCACTGGGAATAAATTCCTTGAGAGAAAAAAGAATTTCCCTGAGTGCCAGGAGTGACACATTTACTGAGTATCTTACCCCTAATGCTTCAGTCAAGAATTTTTCAGTGATCAAAAACGCCTCTCGGTCAGCGGGTTTATCAGTTTCGCTCTTGGGTTTTTCGGCTTCCCCTTCTTTGGATTCTTGTCCGCTACTTTCTTCAGCTTGTCCTGAAGCACCTCTCGTTGCTTCAGCTACCTACACGAGTGATAACAAAGCACCCAAAAATTTAAAAAGTCATAACAGTAATTAGCCAATACTGCCCTTCTACCGTGACTCGCTACCAGAGATTAAGTTATATTCTCCTTGGTTAGCGTCTTGCGTTTAATCATATGTTAGTTTGCAGAATTTGTGTTCCACTCATTCAACTTCCTTGAGCTTTTTCAATCCTTATCCTCTGATTGCCTTTCAATGCAATAATTTAATACTGACAAGGCTGCCTGTTGATCACTTTTCTGAGTGTAAGATCGGTTATGAACGACTTCGCAGTGTTTTACGATGTCTTCTAATAAATAAGTCAGTGTTTATAGTAAAGGAACTGCCACAACCTAAATATGAATAGTTTAGCGAAATAAACAAAAACTGCCAAATAAATATTGACCGTGTTACAGTGCGACATGACACGGGTTGAATGCTTAAGATTCTTGAAAAAGATGGAAGAACCCCTCTCTCCCCCTTCTCTCGTCCATGCCTCAGACGTCACCGCCCTTGCGTGTGTCTTCCCCACGATCGCATTTCTGACTTCTCAGTCCGGCGCTGGTTACATTGTTACCAGAAGAGCTACTCTTCAAATCCATACCTGCACGGCCACAGCCCGACACACGCCACCAATCTTGCGCTCCAGTGACCTCACTCCAGCTTCCCGGGTGTAATTAGAGACTGAAAAAAGATCACCGAAAACTGAGTCAATAGCACTTCTAAAGAAGAGAAAAATGTAAACAGCCATCAATGAAACAAATCCTAACATTGATAACGAATATGAGAGAGATTCCGAGGTGAAATGAGATCATCCGTAGTTAATTCGGACAGCGACTAACGTTGTTAAAAAAAGACTGACGTTACCACAACCTAAGCAGAATTCAGTATCGAGTGTGCAGTTGGATGCCAATCGAACGCTACCTGTTTAGGTCGTGAAAGCTGATTAACGTATTTATTCAATCAACCCTTTAACTTCCAGGAATGATTAACATGTAACTTCTCCCTATAATATCCATAAATTATCCAGCAAAAAGGTAATGAGAATACTCAGACTCATCAGGCAGGAGTTGCCATCTTGATTTAACACCAAATTCTCGTAACTAGTTCACAAGGAAATGTGTAGCAACCAGAGGGGAGAATTAACAATCAGATCCTGGGAGTTAAAGGGTTGAGCGCTTAACCTCGAAAGAGCAGCCACCTCCCACCTCGAAAAGGGCCCCATGTAGGAAGGAAAAGTTGATAAGCGCCCACCCGCCAATAAGTCATTTTACTTACTTATTGCCTTCATAGAATCCTCAGGAAATTCCATGTCTTGTTCAGCAAGTCCATGTTCCTAAATGAGAAAAAAGAAACAAAAAGTTGTTACTTCTTTATTATTCTGTAACCCTAGCGGTTAAAAATTGTCTTTTTAAAACAATTTCCGAACCTTCAGCTGTTTTGGCAAAAGATGCCGCTTAGTAATAGCGATCTTCTCTTCCTGAGTGTAACCTGGAACCATGATCAACTGAAATTTAAAGAAGAAAAAAAAAACAGTTAAAAAATCCAATACAGTCATACAACAAGACAAACTTGTTGTCACATAATTATAACGACCTCTCGTGGGCTACATTATATCATTCCCTCTACCCTCCCCTTCCTGTCCCTTCATTTTCACCCCCCCGTCCCACCCTTTCCAACCCCCCCTACCTGGAAACAAGATGACAAAGGGGGAAGGTAAGGAGGCTAAATAGTACACCACACTTGTTCATAATAACAACATATTACGAGAAAACAGCGGGGGTTTGACTGCCTTGTCCTTCTCATTTACAACTGAACATCTCTCACCTCCATTCGATCAAGCAAAGCAGGAGGTATGGTGCTAACAGTATTTGCAGTGGCTATAAACAGAACCTGTAGGATAAAAGGAACCAAAATGGGCAAATAAGTAAACAAAGGCAGCTAAGAGGAAAATTAGAAAAACGATATATCAATTTCAAAAGCTCAGACAATACTCACTTGTGAAAGATCAAATGGAATATTGAGGTAGCTACAAAGAAGTCTGTGTTAAGGACACAATAAGCGAAAATACATTTTTAGAGTGAAAAAAAAAGACACTCAATGAAAGGTTCATGAACAAAGCACTTAAGGATTAATTTTCTTTTTTACCAGCCCACCCTCCCCTTCCATCCTTTTCTCCTCTTTGAACTCTCTCTATTCCCTCCCTCTGGCTCTTTGCCACATGATCAACCCATCTATTCAATGAGCTCACTTGAAATTTTTGTCTGAATAATTATCAGCATATAATTTAATTGTTTTCATTTAGATTCTTCATCTACGGCAAGAATGAACAGTTTTCACATCAACCTGAGAGTAGTAAATGAGTGCTAGTAAATTGTCATGCAAATGGTTCAACCTAAATTAAATATGAGGGGGGGGGGGTTAACTGTAACAAACAATCATCAAACCCATGGTATATGTCAAATGTTATTAAATGAAGGGCTTGATCAAAAAAGATACTGGTCTACAAATGTCCAATTCTGTTCAGGGTCCAACACTTCCAATAGGGCAGCAGCGGGGTCACCATGAAGACTCTTGCCCTATGAAAAGGTAAACAATTAATCAAAGGAGTCTCTTTTTCTGGTCCAGGGCTTTTAAAGATATCAATCTCAGGCAAATTGAGAAAAGAAAGAAGCAGGAAGGTTGAAAAGAGTGAGAGAAAGGAAGAAAAATTTGGTGCAACTTAAATTACATCCAATGAAATCAAGTTTATCAATACCATCTTGTCCACTTCATCCAACAAGATAACAGGATTCTTTGCTCCAACCGTTTTCAAGGCATTTAAGATCCTTCCAGGCATTGATCCTATGTATGTTCGCCTATAAAAACACATACATGTATGCACTCAAAGATGAGTCACAGTGATTACATGATAATCTTCTTAAACAGAAAAAGTCAGCTATTGAGCCTAGGATTGCATCATACTTGCCCCTGTTTCCTCTTAGAGCCAAGCATCTGTAATTTCTCCTTACAGTTAAAAAATGCTAAATCAAACAATAGGGTCAGGGCTGGGTTGTTCAAAGCTGGGTTTAGATAACCCAGGGTTAGTGTGAAATCGGATTTCAGCTCTGGAAGCTTTTATGGAAAATTCAGTTGAATTCTTTTTGTCAACAGTTTGATGATTGGATGCTCCATATAGAGTAGAGAAAATGATCCCAAAAAGGCTATCGAACAAAGAAGTATAGAAACTCAGATTAAAATTTAACCCTGGGTTGGCACTAATCGGCTTTCAAAAAAATGGGCCCAGGAGAATAATAAGGAATTGATTACCAACCAAAGAAGCTTTTAATGAGAAACAGATGCTCCTGGTCACCACCATGAGCAATGTATAAAGAACAGTATGGCAAACATCCATACTGATGCTAGGGTGTCAAAGGCGTAAATAACAGAAGCACACCCAGTCCTATGGTATGGAGATTACATGTATGTTGTAGAATATCTGGGTGGATCCATGTCTGTATAAGAAATAATTTCTGCAAGAATTTGATACCATCAAAGCACTGCCCTAATGAAAAACAAGAATTCCGAAAAAAGGCTATCCTCCAAGATGATAAAATCTTACCGATGTCCTCTGATATCTGACTGGTCACAAATTCCACCAAGTGATATTCTGGAAAATAATAATTAAAGTATCATTAGTAAACAAGTACAGTTTCAGGAAACATCACGCTAACAGAACTTACACACACAAAAAAAGAAATTGATGGAGAATAATTATTCATAACCATGAGTTTTCCTACAATTGTTCCATCAGTTGAAAAGTACTGAAGAGAAAATATTTCCAGCACTGTACAAGTTATATGCATGTGGCACTGATTACCTGTACCTGGAACTATTACATGTTACTACTCCACCCTTATTAACCCCTATTTTCTTGAGGTAAACAAGCAACAGTAACCTAACTGAACATTACACAGTGTTTCGAAATATTAATATAGAATTAATTGGTTTTTTTTAAATAAAAACTTAATACTTGTTGTACCTCTGAAATTCTCTGCCAAGAGTGTTTGCAATAGATCTTCCAACACTTGTCTTTCCAACCCCAGGGGGGCCAACAAAGCATAAAATAGGACCTACACATACAAGACAATGTTAGCAAATGAAAGCACCCATAAACACATTGAATAAAATTACAAATAGTCTGGCAACTGACTGCTGGCCAAATGACCAACTGACCTACTATAGGAAAGAAAAATTATGAGGAGAGAGAGGAGTTGACCAAAGATAAACATAGACTGAGGTGTTCTGTACATTTTCAAACTGCAGCATTACCTTTCAAACTGTTTTTCAATTTTCGAACAGCCAGATACTCAATGACCCTCTTCTTCAGTTTCTCCAAGCCATAATGGTCATGATCCAGATCCGCTCTAAAATGGCATTACAAACAATATTAAATTAGCTGTTAGAACAAATATTTTCTTCCAAGAAGTGGTGTGAGTTTGCTGTACCAATCACTGCAAGAGATGAGAAGCAAAGCATTCTTAAGAAAAGCAACTAAAAAATTGCAGTAATTTCCACCCACTGTTACCTTGCTTGGGATATGTCTAACTTGTCTGTAGTTTCTTTGCTCCATGGGAGGTCAACCATCCACTCCAGATAATTTCTTAAAAAAAAAATGACACGTCATTAATAACACCTTCTCTTAATGAGCAAGGGCTTGCATTTGTAACATACCAAGTACAAGTAACTATGTAACATAGAGTTCATTTATTATATAACAAATAAAATCAAAGTACCTTGCTGTAGCATGCTCTGGGAACTGTGGGGGCATCTTCTTCAAGCGCTTAAAATTACAGTTATAGAAAGGAAATTATCATCCATAAGTTCAAAAACAATGATTAACATATGACCCATAATGCCCCTTGTGTGCAATCCATAGAAAATCACAGTGAAAGCTGACAAGTGTAGCTAACAGGTTGACCTGACCCTGTCTGGGTAAAGCCTTGTGGCCCAGCACTCACATCTTTGTTGCAAAAATTTAAAGGAAAAGTTTCTTTTTCTGGTTTGAAAAAACAAAGGAAAAGTTTTCATATTTGTAGAATCCTTTTTAGGTTCTCCTGTGTTCCTGTCCATTGTGCACTTTAAGGTTGAAAACAAAATTTTCAAAATTTTCAACAATTAGCGCTTGTATAATGAAAAGCTTCTTGACTGAGTTTGGTCAGGCCAAACAGGAAAATATTTGGCTCTCGGTCACAGTGTACAAACCTTGCTGGAATTGGTCCATATGTTATGATCTTGAGCCTCTTATTTTCCCATCTGGCCCTCTCACTTAATCAGTAAGTATGTAATACTTCAGAATAGCACAGTTTAACTTTGCCTTCCCAACAGCCTATGCTGCCCACAAATAACAGGTTACAAGGACATTTGGTCCTATGAGAGACTTTATACCTTAGATAAATGATAGATAGGACACATAACTACCTTCAACTCCTTCATAGCTACTTTGAAAGCATGTTCTGGAAGGTCAGCAGACCTGGCAAAACATAAACAAGAAATAAGTACCTAGTAAAGACTGAGCCAAGTTCTTAATATTATCCTATGAGCTAAATATCTTCCCATTCAGGTTGACTTAACTCAGTCAGTTACCATCTTACACCACAAAATCTCATAGGGCTGTACACCAAGCTGAGCAGCTCTTTCCAGTTCTGTTAACATTTATGGCCCTCAAACAGTGTTTTTTTTAGGTGATTTTGGGCAAATTATAACATTCAAATGATAACTCCAAATTAGCACAGAAATCAAATGAAAACAATAAAGTTTCAACCCTAATACTCTTCTAGCATCCATTCAACAACAATTTTTACAATGAAAGTGATCACTTCAGAAATAAAGAATAGAAACTCAAAAATAATGCCACGACCCTTCAACTCTTAGAAGTGATTAACATGTAACTTCTCCTTGTAGGTAAAGTAAAAAAAAAAAGTAAAAAAGTAAAAACTTTATTCACACAGGGTAGCCCATTCAGCTCTAAGGCTGGTATCCATAGGGGCCCTGTTTCTAAAAAAAAATTTACATCAAAATTCTCAATTATATATATACATGACTAGAATTTTAAAACTACATTAACAGCCTAAGACTACAAAGCCAAAACACAATTAAGACCTAAAATAGTAGACAAAATATCAAAGTTAATATAAAAAGAAATGTCTTACTCGGCGGCAGAACGTTTGAATGTTTTCACTCTTCACAATGTTTAAAGGGAGTTTATTAAAAATTTCTGTGCCTTCAAACATTGTGAAGAGTGAAAACATTCAAATGTTCTACCACCAAGCAAGACATTTCTTTTTATCTTAACTTTGATATTTTATCTACTATTTTAGGTCAGGTCAGGTAGAAGTTGTAATCTAGAAATCCATTAAATTCTCATACCTAGTTTAGAAGGAAATGTGTAGCAGCTACAGGGGAGAATTAATAATGAGATCTTGAGAGGACCTAAACCTACCTGTCTTGTTGGACCTAAATCAGATCTTGGGAGATAAAGGGTTCAAAGTTACATTTTAAATGCACAGGGAAACAGAACAAAGGAACAACTAGATCAACTACTTTTTTTCCGTCTAAGCTGATGATCAAAAACAGAATCTGATATGAATTTCAGAATGTTACAAGTCAATGTACCCAACAATAATCACACAGTTGTAGAACTAAATTACAAACATTTTTAAAGAAATTATCATACCTAATTTTCCTTTCAAGTTCCTCCACATCATCTTCATCATTATTGTCGTCATCATCATCTAAACCTTTGGAAATCCTTTTGGGTTCCTTAGAAATGAGTATGCTGCCACGCTTAAATTGACAACAAAATAGGAATTGAGATACATATTAAATACATTTGATACATACACTCATAAAGCAAGGCCACAGCCAAGAAAAGTCAATCTGAAAAATCAAAATGTTAGTGATAAATAGATTTCCATTCAATTGAAACTGTAATATTATTTTATTGCCACATTAGTTACATTTAACTTTTATATCATTTTGCATCCCATAAATTGTTGTACTTTACTTAAGATCTCCAGCAAGATGTTTTTAAACTGATCAGTATTTACTCCAGAAGTGAATCCACAGCATAAATGCACCTTCTTTTTGGTGGATTTCAAAACTCTTTGGAAACATTTCAATTAATAGTCTAAGGATCTCATCAATAGAGCATCTAAAGGTTAAAATACCTTTGTATTATTTTTCCACATCCTTCTGTTAAATTCTGAACCACCCTTCAGCGGGTGGCTACCTCTCATTCCCTGAAATTTAAAGAAATTTTAGTTGATGAAAATAGAAAGATTTCCCAACCATCACCTGGAATGAATGGGTGAAAGTGGAATGATTTATTTAATTCATTTTTTTTTTAAATCTTTGAAAGGGCAAGACATTTATAAGAGTATTCCCATGAACAAAGTGCCTCTCATAACCTGCATATATTGATTAACAGGTACCAGCAAATAATAAAGGGTGACCTGTTTAAGAGCCCTACTTGCTACTTTAAGCATGTTATAGAATGAAACATTTCTCGTCTGAGCAGGAAACACTTTGACTCATATTTTCAAAGATAAAAGTAACAAGTAATAATTAGGTGTTGACCTGGTGTGCCCTCCTAAATCTAATTGAGCAAAAACAATAAGTCAATTTTGCCAAACAATCAGGTTAGTTTCTAAATTTAGTTTTACTTTCAAAAGCAATCATGTCCTATGCTAATCCTTTTTCAGTTTGTTCACTAAAGGAATGTCCCAATTCCAAAAAAAAAGTGCATTCGTATTGATGGATAAAGTAAGAGAGAAAGGTTGTCCCAATTTACAAAAATAAAATTGAGACAGAATTGTGAATGCAGTCAAATAATCATTGTAGTAATAATAATTAATCAAATCTATTATGTAATATAACATAATAACTCCCATCTTACTAAGTGACTGATATACTTTCCAAAATGATCCAGCAACTAAATTTAAACACCACTTCCATGATCCTGACTTACTAATTTAATAAAATTATTCAATAATAAACTGAAAGATGTACTCTACCTCTTTTTGTCTCCGTAGCAAAAGAAGAGATTTCTTGAACCTTTCAATCAAATCTACTGTATTCAGGATCTACACAGATGGATACAAGAAGATCATTTCCATTGAAAATAAATGTCCTACATTGATATCGCGTGAGGAAACTATAACTTCTTTATCATTCTTAGGATTGAAAAGGTTAAAAGATTAAGTCATTTACGCAGTTCAGCATTATACCTCTAGTTTCTCTAAGTAAGAGGCTTTTACAATGGATGCCAACGTGTCAGGAAGACTCCCATCTGGTATTCCACTCAACATGTCCTATAGAACAAAGATAAGTGTTATTGTTCAAGGATGAGGTCAACACAACTTGATACATGTATTTCCCAAGTTTACCATGATCCGTAAAAATATGTAAAAAAAGAACATGGCCCAGATTATGCCATCTAGAAAAAAACATGTTTGGTCAATAAAGGATTTATCAAATGACAAAAAGATTAAACTTGAGAATCCCCATATACATTCACAAACCCCCCTCAGTTACTTTGTTTTATGGTCTTCAAGATATGGTTTGTGATTCTAAATGTAGTTGTAAAACTGATTAAAAACATTTTTCTTATGGCAGACAAATAGTCTGCTATAAGTAACCACTTAACTCTTTGACTCCAGGAAGTGATTTATATCTAACTTCTCCCAATAATATCCATACATTATCTAGCAAACAGGTAATGAGAATACTCAAACTCATCCAGTAGAAGTTGTTAAATCAATCTTACACCAAGTTCTCACAACTAATTAACAAGGAAATGTGTACCAGATAGAGGGGAGAATAAAGAATCAGATGCTGGGAGTTAAAGGGTTCACATAAGATAATTGTTTTTTTCAGTTTGCAAAATTAAATCAGGTAATCTCTGGATGGCAAGATTGCAATCTTGCCTAGAGGGTTGCCAATTAGGCTCCCTTTTTACAGAGCTCACCAGGCATACATTGTATAACATTGGGTATTGAAACAAGACACCAAGCATCATATTTCCATTTTATATACCAGGAATTTCATGACTTTTGAATTATTACCTTTAGCCTGGAAACAAATGGTACTCTCCCATCCAACATGTCCACCAACTCATTTGAACACAGTCGAAACTCTTCAGCTAGCATTGTTAAATCAGCATTTTTCCTTATTTCTGCCTCTGTAATCCGAATACATCAGAATACTTTACTTTTACAGCTGCAGATTATTCAATCAGTGAATAATTACACAGCAAATATTTTTTAGACCGATAAAATACTTTTCACCAATACCAAATTTTGAAATCATCTGTGATGCGTAACTCAACAGACACACATTTAGAGAAAGATGTTTTTTGTCTTGTCATGAGCATGGGACAAAGGAAAAGATTACAAGTCCCAGTAAGGAATTGAACCACAGACCTCTGTGGCTCTACCACTGAGTCCCAGAGACTTTACCATGAGCGAGGTCTATTATGAAGTTCATATAACACATGTCCTGTATATCGCTAGGATCAGCAATGTTAATAGCATCATGTTTGTAAATAGTTTTCTATTTAAAGACACACATTTGTTACAGTGATACTGTTTTGAGAAGTTTAATGTTGATAATGTTTACCATATAACTACCTTGTTCGGAGGGCCTGTCCAACTGTGTCACCTCTGCTATCAAATAAGGTTCCTCCATGACTATTTTATCAATTCTAAATCTGCACAATCCAGTAACTAGCAGGGTGTACAGGGGCTTTGGCCAGTTGGTACCTGTTACCTGAACTACTACAGATGCTGTTCCAAAGGCATGTAACAATGATTCTTCATCCTGTAGATTGTAAATAGTTCAATTATGAGGGGATTTGAAGATGCAAAAACTGCCAAAACATTTGTAAAAAATATGAAACTGGTTTACTTCGCTTCTAAAATCAATCAAACAATTTCGCTCAATTGAAGAATGGATCAATAAATTCTACCTACACAGATAAAAAAATGATTGAATCCAATAGTATTTGTCATATTTAAAATGATTCATCTATTTCTTTACACTACATGTATATTCGACCATAACACAGATGTTGCTCAAGTTTGTTATTTTTAATATCAAGGGTCACATTGCATTATCTTACTTGAAACTGGAACTAAAGTTATTGTTAGTAGTTAGGTCTGCTTCTGATATAAATTTATTTTTTGTTTTCTGTTTGAGGGAAGATTGAACTGGTTTACCCAAAAAAATCACTTCTACTCTATTGGAAGTATTATTTATCACACGAAAAACAAACTGCAAACACACAGTCATTCTGCTAATGACGAACTTCCGGTCCAATGAGATTGTACGTGCAGCTCGATGTCACGACAGCACGTTCGCTAGGACACTACATAAAATCGAATATTAGCGGGACAGAAATTAAAATAGAAATAAAATAATTTTATGCAACTTACCTCTTTCTCTGATCGTCGTGGTACCACACCTATGATCACACTGCTTAGGGTGTCTTTTCGAAGAAGTCTTGTATCGATCATACGAAGGCTGTGACGATCAAAAAAGATCAAAACACATAACAAAGTTGAGCTTATGCAATATAAAAGTTACGCAGTGCAGCGGAAAAGAACGCGCGAAAAGTTGAGGCTTTTTTCTTACCTGGCATTGTCTCGTACAGCAATCCTCATGGAAGAGCCCGGTAAAAGGACTTTGTCTTTGAGGATGAGCAATGGAAGGCGTTTCGGGAGATCTCGATTTGGAACCACCATTGCTGCGATGTTGCTGTTTAGTGAATGAAGAAGGTGAGCTGGTAACTAGGGTTATCCTACCCAGTACCCAGACTCTTAGACACCGCTCTGTCCTTGTGATACTAGAAGTTATGTTACATGAACTATCAGAACGCACAATCCAAGATGGCGGCCTTAATTCGAAATCGAATTGCAGGTACGAATTCTCCGAAATTATATGTATGGTCCTTCACTGATTTTGATCTTACGTTTATGCAGAAGTTTTCCTGTCTCGTCTGATTTTGCTTCCAGTGTTGACAAGACCATCAGCGATGTCTATGAATTGCATTAGACATTGGAGTACTTTTCCAACACTTCATGCAGGGCAAAAAATGAGATTGAGGTACGTACGTCAGATACATGATAAAATACAATTTTCCTTGTTAGCTTCTTTACATGTGTTTGTGAATGCGATTAGTGAGTGCGGTGCTATATCGGGTTAATAGTGGTCCCTTTATCTAATAATTTTACCTATTGTAATCAACTGTTTCTGGATAATGAAGCGATGTTAGCTGCTAGGAATAGTTGCATTTTAACTATTTTTCGCAAATTTTAATCCCCAGCCGAGGTCAAGCACGCGATGGAATAGCTTATGGACCTCTCACTGACCTACCAGACTGGAGTTTTGCAGGTAGACTTCTAAACAAAATTGGAGTAAATCAAGTTTGCCTTGTATCACGAATTATTCAGTATGACTGGCTATGCTACTTGCTATCTATTTGACAATTAGATTCCATGCTGCCGTGTATCTGTTCATTAATGGATCACAGATGACTTTAAAATGTGGTGATAAAGAAGTGGTATTCAAAGCACAGTCTATTATTGTAAAGACCCATGGGATATGGAATCTCTGTTTTTTATCTGATCAAAAAAAGCAAATTTTTGTTAATGGTGATGCAATTTATGTATCCGTCCTCTGTAGATGATAAGTAAGAACCAATTAAAATTTCATTGTTTATTGAGTACTTCAACTTATTATATAATCCATGATAGATGGTAAATGATGTGAGAAGCCTGACAGTATCTAGTTGTAATCATAGTAATATGCATGAAAACATTATACATTTCTGATTGCCTGAAAACAAGCACATTTTTCATTAACAAAAATCCAAAGTTGTTGCATGAGTGCAAATTACAAATAGCATGCACCATGTCAAAATTTTGTCTGTCTTGACCTTCTGTGATACATTTTTCATGTAAACTAATGATAGGTTTTAACGCGATTTCCTGTGCAATTTGGTGTTAATTAGCACTCATATATCTTTCAAAGATTACAAATTGCACTCGCCCTATTCATGCTTATTCACTTTTTTCCTTATTGTGTAATAGTTAATCTGGGTTTGCGCTCATAGAGTATTACGCAAGAGAAATCCGGCTTTTATAATCTAATTGTTATTTAGCTGTGTGTTGTCTATCAGCACACACAAGGCTTTTGACTGAATATATATAAAATGAGAGCTTACCACTGATTTATAATTTTAGATGAATTCTAATTCCTATTGAATCAAATGATAGTTAAGATAATTACCTGCAGGAAGAATTAGATAATGTCTGTCGTGTGATCTTCAAGAATGTTCTAGAAGTAGCTGTGTCATGCTGAGCCATCCCTGAATCAATGTATAAATAGAATCTGTTGTGATGCAATGGAACGTTCTGGATCCTCAACCATACCTATATAAGCCAAGCTTGTAACTAGATGTAGAGAGTAGTTTAGTTGCTGGTATAGCCCGTCAGATATCAATAAAGGTGTATGCTGCAGAATACAAGATGTCCACACTTCAATGTCAACTTACCTTAACTTTGTCATGACAAATTTAAGCATCTCTAATCTAATTGTTATTTAGCTGTATCTTGTCTATTAACACACACAACACTTATTTGCCTTAGGCAAAGCAGTAAAAATTGTTGAATAATCCCCAAGAAAAAGGCACTTGGCAGGAGTTGATTATTGTGAGATATGATGCAATCCTCCACTGATCAGAGAATGCACATTTCTTTATTCACTGGAGCAATTATACTCACTGAATATATCTAGATTGAGGGCTTACCATTGATTGATAAGTTAGTCAGCATCCAGAGATTTTTGCTTTTCTTTAAAGTTTGTGCCCTATTTTTAATGGCTTTGACTGTCAAATACATATTAATTACTTCTCATTTCAGGGACCACAGAAGTGTTTGTAAAAATTCATTCTTTGTATTGATCATTTTGCTTTTGAATTATCAGATGGGACCCCAGCACCAGAGACAAAAAGAAGAAGGATAAGAAGGTTGAAAAGAATGGATGTGGCCGTAAGTTGTAAACAATGCTATTCAAAGAGTAGTTACTGAATGCATAACCAATAAGCGTTATACTTGATTTGCCTTTTGCCATGTTCAATGCATTGATTTTTATGGAAATTGATGAGGTTTCTTATTAAAATATGACCTGTGCATCACACATTGAGGTTAAGGGAATGAATGAAATGATAACCAACTAAAGAAGCTCTTGAATGTTAAACAAGTTTTCCTTATCAGCATCTCAGGAAATGTACAGTATGGAGAATATGCATACTGATGTCAGGGTGTAAATAGGGACCTTAAGCAATCAGGACAGCAATGCCAAGGGAGACTTCGATTAAAAAATGAATTTCTGCCTTTAATTAGAATTTCAAAAATTGGCTCCATTTGTTTACCATCTCATACCGCACCACACCTCAACTTCAGCATAACGTATAAAAGAAGCGTTGAGTTCCAAATGGAAATTAAAATAATTTGCCGTCATGATTTCAGTTCGTAGATGACGCAAATTGTGGTGATTTCACATTGTTGTTTTGCATCGGATGGCTAAGAAATGTACAAAGTTTTAAAACACACGTGCAGAGTTATTGCTCTGCCAATTAGATCCATTGTTTTTCCATGTCCTCGTTGCTGTCGCCGTTGTGGTTTGTGTAAGGTCCCTATTGATTAATCAATGTAAGTGTGATTGACAGCTACTTTCTGGAACAGAAGTTTATTCATTTTTGCTTTATTCCAGCATCAAATCTTAACATATTTGAATGAGGTGGAGAGAGCAGGGGAAGCAAGAGATGAAGATGGAAATGTTCTGGATTCCACAAAACTGCCAAAGAAAGAGCAAGAGATCAGTTGATGAGAGAATTCTGGTTCACAAACATTACCAAGCTGCAATTAAAATGGAAAGAATAGCCGTTTAGGAAAAATGATTCATCCTTCTGAAGGAAATGCATTCATTTCTTATTCAAAGCTAGCAGAACAAAGATTAGCAGCTAGGTTTATACTAATTTAAGCCTAGTTCTACTTTAACCCGTGAACTCCAGAGATCTGATTGTTAATTCTCCTCTTTAACCACTTACACATTTCCTCATAAATTAATTATGAGAATTTGGTGTTAGATCAAGATAACAACTTCTACCGGATAAGTTTGAGTATTCTCTTTACCTTTTTGCTGGATAGTGTATGGATATTATTGGGAGAAGTTACATGTTAATCACTTCTGGGAGTTAGAGGGTTAAATATTTTTCTTTATTAATAGAATGATGACTTTACAAACAATATTTGAAGTTTTCATTACAAGGGCTGAAGACTTGACATTTATTGGTAGTGTAAACTTTTTGAGTGATGCATTTTTAAGTTAAAACAGTTGAGAGCTTTACACTTTTCAAGTGTTAATTTCCTTCAAGTTGTATGTAGTTTTTGTCCATATAAAATCAATCCAGGGTGCTTTGTACTTTAAAAATTAAAAGAGACATGAACTGAGATAGCTGTTGTAGGTCAACCCTATTGCGCAACGTCTATCATTTTCAGACAGAGTATTCAGAAACGCATATAAAATAATGCTAATATCACACACGGTAACATCCACGACCAATTTAAGACCTCGGGTCTGGTTTGATATCCAATTCAAGACGCTAAATAGTGAAACTGTCTATCGTGTTTAAAAGCCAAGGAAAGTAGAACCAAGCACTATTTGACAGCACATACCTATTAAGGCAAAGTTAAGGGGACCCTAACAACCCCCCTGCCTTCCACTAGCCACCATTTCACCCCAAAGGGGAAAGAGCATGACACTTACAAGGTTCCCAACGGGAAAAAATATTAAAACCCGAGTCCTTTTTTTTCCCCTGCTGTACTGTTCTCCCTTATGATTACGCCGTGCGACCCCCTCTCAATTGATGTGGATAAGAGTGACGTGACACGTTCCTCTCTCTTTCAGAGTCTCAGCTTAAATTCGGGGAAGTCCTTAGATGATCTTAGTCAACTGTTTATCTTTAGAATGCGATCACATGGACTCATCAAACTTATAGGCCATTTTTACGTCTGTGTTGCAGCATGGAGGAAATCTGGGATGGTGGTGATGAATTGATCAGAATCAAAGGAAAGTTTGGGCGTTTCCAGAAAACCAATCATAACAACGAGTAGAACAAAGAACGAAAGGCAAATTTTGACTCGTATGGGATGGAAGAGGTTTTAATCTCTTTGGAGGGTTTTCGTCTTCCAATTTTTTTTTCAGCAGAGTTATTTGTTTAAGTGGATTAAAACGTATGCAAGTGTATTTTTGATCTTTCTTAATCCATGCTCTTGGAGTGGCTTTGATCTGATCCCAAATCTGCTCTCGTGATTTGGCTGCTTTTGTTGCTTCACGGAATTGTGACTTCCTTTTCCTGGATTTTGTCGCCTTCCTGTGAAGTAAAGTAGTAGTGAATAGCTGAAAAGAAACAACAAAGCTTCTCAGCAGTATCGTGATCCGGCAAATTGCTTCTGAATCCCTTGCGGTGATACTTCCCAGCTGACCGCAAATAAGACAACAAGCCGCTTAATTTTTTGGCTTGACAAGTAGTTCTCACGCCTATTGAATCAAATGTTTTTAAAGATAATTATCGTCAGGAAGTATGAAAAGTCGACCCAAACACGAACTGAGAGGGAGCGGAGTCTTGAATATGTCAACATGCACAAGCTTTGCCTTGTGTCAAACTCAAATTTAATTGCTGTGTGGTGGTGTTTCCTCCCTGTAGCTGTCAGTATCAACTATGATTGTATCAGTAACTGATACAACCATAGCGGTCTAATCATTTGCCCTGGGCAAAATATACGTTTTTCGGTTGTTTTGATTCACACGCTTTTGGCTTGTGAACCAAACCGCGCCTAAAAGACGCCCACACCTGGAGGCTATAGAAACACAGACTTTATCTCAACTTTTAGCGCGAGAGGAAATTAAAGCAAAAGTCTGATGTATTTTCATTCTAGCATGTATTATACCTCTGCGCAAATTTAAACTATTTTCTATACTCTTATGTGATTTTCTGGCAGCAGAGCTAACGAGGAAATCGTTTTCTTAAAAATTTGTTTTCCGGTTCTCTCTATACGGCCTAAACACTAAATCACACTGTAAGATGACTTGAACTGTAGCCTTAAAATAGTGCCTCTGAGAATAGGTGCAAGGCTGAAGGCAGGTTTAGTTGACAGGAAGATCCTCCTCCACACCCCTCAGGAGCACCTTAAAACGAGTCAAGGAGACTACGACTTAGGAGAATGGAACATGGAAATACATATCTCTCGACGAGGAATTGCATCCTAAATTTACGATTTCGCGTTCCAATACATTGCCACAAAGCCACACAGGGCCATTACTAGGGCGTCACTTGGCTCGTGAGGGTGAACTGACTCGTTCGTCTAATTCACTCTAAGAGTATTGGGAGTTTCTTCTCACACAGTATTCTGCTTTACCACCCCTATTTGCCACTTTTGACCCCAATCACTCAGAGTTGATAAATTATCACTGAATCAGGATAGCTTTTAACTTCAATCATCTTTATCTTTGATGTTATCGGACTTATTGAGGCAGATAGACATCGTAAAGCTGGTTCTCGTATTTGAATAAATCCTTAGACTAAGAGGATTTCTCTGAGTCTCGACGGTTACAGATTTGACTGTCATACGAAATCATCAAAATCCTGATTTGTCCAGTATAATTAGGCAGCGTTCACATTTTTCACTTTAACAGTCCTTGGTGGTCCATAGTAAAATCTGTTATGTTCAACACTTAGATAAAAAAAATCTCTTATTTCCTCAGGCCCTTCCGAAATACGAAAACGCACGCTTTGTTTCACTGCTTAGTAAAAGACATTAGAGCCTGCTATGACTACTTACTTATTGCGGCTTTCTTGCGCCTATACTTACAGGAAAACGAAGGGTGCGAAACCAAACTACGCTTTGACTTCGAGTAGCTAAGATCAGTCGACTGAATCGCCTGTTAGCATTCCAAGCCCTGAATTACATGCATGATATCAAATTTTCTATAATTTCTCTGGTATGCGGCCGAATCTTGAATATTAAAGATTTTGAGTTTCTTACAACGATATCATAATGTCAAGTAAACATGAACCGCCAAATCTTCAAATTTTGACATTGTATCCTTTTTATACGCAAAATCACTTGACATAAAATCTCAAACTTCTTAACTTCAAATTTTACTCACGGTAAGTCACACGCAGAGCCATTACGATAGACTGAGAAGCCGAAGGTTCGATATGTTTCAAGCTTGCAGTTTACCGGTTTATACACCCTGCATGCAGGTAACAAATGGGTAGAAACATGTTGACAACAACTTGGACATCTCGTTTAATCACAACTGCTTGGTCATTCACTAGAGATATTGTAATATTCTGAACAACATCTCCAAATCTCCACTTTGGAAAAATAGCCAAATCTCGATTACAGACCACACACGAGAAGAGCGTCCTAAAATAGCATCGTGTCGACTGATTTTAAATTCTCAGTCAATGTGAACCTAACATAACTTGATGGCTGACAGCCAAAACCCAGCACAACTCCCTTCATTCATTTATCACCTGACTCCGTCTGTTGACAGCAAAAATTTCCTCATTTGGCGGTTTTCGTGTACAGGTTATGTAATATCAGATGATCTTGTTGCCACTTCTATTAGACGGAAGTTGCTAGCACATATACATCCTTTGCTTCGGCACGTACAGAATCAGGACAACGTCGTCCCTCCATCCCATGAACAAAGCAAGATCTGTGTTGAAAGCGGCAGTAAGTTGCAAGTAAGTGTCAAGTTTTTGTATTACCTCGTTAAATGTCATTTTAAAATATAGCAAGACGATTCGTGTTTAACGAAAATCGGAATAGCTTTCCCGTGACTTTTCCCGTCACTTTTGGATGAGATCAATCATTCGTTGGGCTTATTACGGGTTTCCTTTAATCATTCCTTTGCAGTGCGATACCTAGACCTCCCACTCACATGGCCGTATGTCGGTTTTATATATACTCTAGATGTCTCTTATCTTTCAAGATCATCTTTCTTTTCCAAAGCCGTGAGCTCTGCGTTTCGCGGTATTTGCGGGTACCTGTGGGGGTTTCAACAATCATTTATGATTCGTACGAATATCTGAGATCCTGTTCAGTTTTCCGGAAGTTTCACTTGAAGTTAAAAAGCGTCTCTGGGACGCACCCATATGAAAGGTCAAGGGAATGTTATTTCCGTGTCATAGGAACGATCGCTTAAGAAGTGATGGTATGCAAAAACGTGCAAAGATAAATTCGTCGGCTGCATTTTGAAAACGAGCAAAGCTTTAGGCTTAAGTCAGCAACTTTTGTCCTGTAAGGTAAGGTTTTTTGACTATCACTATTTTCCAAAACTGCAGTACATTACGGCAATTTTTGCGGATTGTTCTCATTTTTTAAAAATAAGTTGACGCGGAAAAAATATTCGGCGAAATACTTCGCCGCTCAGTAAAGTTTGATAATTTCATACCAGTGAAAGTATTTGCATGTAAATTCAGTTACAGTTTGTCTTGTTAGCATTCGCGATCGGACTTACTCGAATTATAAGCATCTGGCCCCGGTTATTCGAAGCTTGGATAACGCTATTCATTGGATAAATCTCTATCCGGTGGATAGCGCAGTACGTGTTGCACTGCACTTACCACTTATCCGCTGGATATCGATTTATCCGTTAGATAGAGTTATCCACCCTTTATACAACTGGGCCAAGGAATTATCTTCCACACAGCTTCTTTGTTGATCCAACGCTACAATTGGAAACTTGAAAATATCGTTCCTTCCTTGACTATCTTTTGCTGCTTGACTGTCAAATCGTAAGGAATTAGCATT